GTATTGAAAGTTGTGGTACGCGTGTGCGTGTGCGGTGTGTGCGTGTGCGTGTGCGGTGCCAGTGAGCAAGAGCAACGAAGAAATGGTCGAGGCTCTACTGAAATGCGGCGCCGATCCACGGCGATTGTTTGGACACTCCTGCTCGACCGACAAGGCCCAGTACGACGAGTCCTCTCCCGCTTGCTTCTATCCCTCATTGCTCTGACCTTATGCGTACTGCCCCCTCCAAGGCGCATCGACGCGCTGCTGGCTGCGCACCGCGACGCGGGTGATGCGGCGTCGCCCCGGGGCGTGACCTCTAAGCGCAAGCGCCCCAGTTCACCGACACCCCAGGCACACCAGACCGACGAGCCCGAGGCGCCCACCCACCAGAAACCCAAAAAACGCGCTGTGGACGATCAGTCGTGCTGAAGGTAAGAGTTGGGCAGGCAAGCTGGCCTTGCTCTTCCTCTTCTTCGTCACATGTTGTGCCGTGGTGCACCCTTCCTCCTTCGTATTTCGCATAAAACACAAGAGCACTTCATTTTGGGTGAAGATCAAAGTCGTCATCGCCACAAATGCACAGCGACAGCGATAGTAGCGATGGAGAGGAAGGGGGGTCGGTTCAGAAGGTAATCAACTGCGAGGAATGGTTCGTGAGGCTTACGGGCTACTCGGAATCAGACTGGAGGCGCAAATCGGACAAGGGCATTCGACAGGCCGAGGATGGAAGCCTCATCATTACCAACCTCAAGAATAAGAAGACGTTTAGTGCGGGCACCTTCACGCTGCAGCGCCTGGGCGACCTCATCAACGAGGTGCAGGCCAGCGCACCCATTCGCGGCTACGTCCCGCCCTGCATTCTCGAGATCGTGACCCGCGCAGACAGCGTACGCCAATCCCCCCCCCTCCTTTGATTATAATATTCATCTTTTGTGTATCAATTTCTAGGCCTCCATTCGCAACGTGGACGTGGCGCACCTGCAAGCCATGCCCGAGAACCGACACGCCGTGTTCCAGGTATCATCGCGCCGACCCTCACCCCTTTGGCCGCACGTTCGCGGCTCACCTTCTCTCTACTCGCGCCGCCAGGTGGCGTCCAATTTCAACGGCGTCGAGGCCATCTCGGAGGGCAGCTCGCCCGACGGCTCCAGCTTCACCGAGAAGTACATCTACGACCTCACCCAGGGACCTGCCGCCTCCATCTCCGCCGGCGCCGGTGCGTCCTGTTTCCTCTCGTTCGCGTTTCTCCTCTCCCCCAGAGCGAGCAAGAAAGAAGAACCTTCATCGACTAACGTGTCTCTGGAACGTGACAGCCGCGATCACGCGAGTCCACGCCGCGTTCTACGACCCCACCAAGCCGCAGGGCGAGTGGACGCAGACCGCAACCCGCCAGGTACGCGTCGTTTCCCATCGGTGGCCGTAAGCAAGGCGCGCGTTAACATGAATGTGCACAATGTGGCTGGCTTGGTCGATTCGATCGTACAGGTCAACTTTCTGGCCGACCTCCGAAAGCACTTCCCGACGCACAACGGCTACGTGGTGCTCACGGGCAGGGAACCGTCCTTCCCCAAGGTCGGCTCCGCCAAGTACGATCGACTCTTCGGCAAGGTGCTGGTTGGCTACCACCACAACGT